GCGCATACAAATCGAGCATTAAAATGATGCATTCCGTAGTCGGCACTTCATACAGAGACCTTGCACTACCTCCACGAATCTGACTCCTACGACTCATATTCTCCCTGCTAATTGGGCGCATATACCTGTAAGGAAGTCAAAGCTTTAGCCTGTTGTAATTTCAGTCCGGTGATTGCCACTCTATCGATGAAAAGCTTCCACTCAGTGATCCTGTCAGCCTGCTTGGGTTCTACAAGAACCCTGGCACTTGATTGGGCGCGTGTCGCGAAGCCGACACCTGAGAACAGTAGCTTCTACGAGCAAAGGTTCAGACTTCCACAGCCTGACGCTTTTTTTGATGATAGTCCAACTATATTGGCTTGCTTCAACCTTGCAGCTCGATCAACTAGCTCCTGCTCTTTCCTTCTGAGCGAGATGTTTCTACGTCAGACTATGAGTCTCACTGTCGGTATCGTTCCCGTCGATCTTTATCCGACCTACAATGGCATCACGCTGTCTGCCTCCTCCGTTCAGAGAGGGTAGAGGCTTCGTTGTTGACTGCGATTTTCGTCTTCTCTCCTAGCCTCTTCCTCTTTCTCTTCTTCTTCTTCTTCTCGATCCTCGGCAAACGTCGCTGTGCTGCCACGCCCAGAGCTGCCATAAGGCGTGAAGCAGGTTTTGATCGCCGACTTTTCGCAGCCAACCTCAGCTCACCAACAATCGGCACGGCCATTGGTAAGCCGGACAACGTCCGATCCAGTGTAACATTCGATAACGGCATACCATCAAGGGCAGATGCCTAAGTTTCAAGGGGCGACCTCGCCAAGTTATCCAAACCTCCTGCTTCCTCATCAGCGCTTGGATCCGGCAACGCAAAGTTACGATGGTAGCGATACATTTAATTTTTAGCACAGCATGCTGACACTCCCTGCCGTTTCTGCAGTCTCGGTTTACTGAAAACTACATCAAAATCATCACAACCATGGAAGTGCATTTGATACAGGTCAGGGCAATATTGGGTTTTAAACTTGAAAACGTTCCTTTCTCGCTCTAATCACTTTGGTAAACACTCATAAGCACCCACAGTGCAAGCAAAATTTTTTTGTGTATCAATTAGAGAGGGAGGCACTTGCTTTAAGCGCGTTTCTTTTAGCCAGAGTACATCTATATCTGGGAAAACGCAATCGAGGTAAGTTTCGAACGTTAGTCTTCAGATAAGCCGATATCGTGATACAACCGGATTATGAATGAACATAACCGGTGACTAATACTCTAGAAGGAAACTCTCAAAAGAACTCAGATATCGTGTCGTATTTAGTTGGATAAGATAGCTAAAAAAACGGAAGGTAGTTGCC